CACTTGGAGAACCAGTCCCGATTTATCTAAATTTTTAACTAGCTTTCCTTGACAGCTTTTTCACTTGAGTCTGTGTATAATTTGTGAATTTTCTCACTGTAGACCGTGAGAAAAAAAAGTGGAGTGCTTAAAAATTATGCATCTCTGGGGCCGGCCCGGTGGTGTAGTGGTGAAGTGCATGCGCTCCGCTTCCGCGGCCCCAGGGTTCTCAGGTTCAGATCCCAGGCGCGGACCTATGCACCACTTATCAAGCCATGCTGTGGGGGCATCCCACATATAAAATAGAAGAAGATGGGCACGGATGGTAGCCCAGGGCCAGTCTTCCTCAGCAAAACGAGGAGGGTTGGCAATAGATGTTAGCTCAGGGATAATCTTGCTCACAAAAAAAAAAAAAATTGCGCATCTCTTCACCCTGGACTTTACCACTGGTATGAAACTCCCTAGAAAGCATCCAGCCATAACACAGTGCGTCCTTGCAGGCCCTGGGCAAACGCGCCTTCCCACCTTCCCCAGGCTGCCCTGCCCTTATCTGGGTTGGAGGGCCACCTTCCTAAAGGCCTGCTGCTTCTATCAGAGGAGTCGTATTTGATGTAGGGAAAGTGTAATAACCTGGATGGAGGGGTACCTCTGTGGAGGGAGGGGCTCCAACCTTGTCTCTAACACTTTATTTCCTTTAAAAACTCAAGTACAGGGGCTGGCCCAGTGGCGCAAGCGGTTAAGTGCGCGTGCTCCGCTGCGGCGGCGCGGGGTTCGCCAGTTCGGATCCCGGGTGCGCACCGACGCACCGCTTGTCAAGCCATGCTGTGGTGGCGTCCCATATAAAGTGGAGGAAGATGGGCATGGATGTTAGCCCAGGGCCAGTCTTCCTCAGCAAAAAGAGGAGAACTGGCAGATGTTAGCTCAGGGCTGATCTTCCTCACAAAAAATAAATAAATAAATAAATAAACTCAAGTACAGCAAAACTATTAGAGCTGAGTATCTGTAAACAGGTGTTTATTATATTATTCTCTCTATGTTGTAAACGTCAAATCATTTTTTAAAAGTAAATAAAAACTAACTAATGAAGACAGAGATGTATCTACCAAATGTTCAGATACATATTGACTTTGTTAACGACATTTTTTCTGGCTGGAGGAGTGTTTGCCATCCTTTGCCACATCTTACAAAGTGGTCAGGAAGCCTGCAGTTGACAGTAGTCAGGTAGAAACTAAACAGAAGTAGAAACACCAGGGTACTCGTATGTAGGTGGCACTTTCTATATTTTATTGGTTTTTATTATAAAATGGATACATGCTTATTACAAAGATTTTCTTAAAATACAAAATTGTGCAAAGTAAAAAGTGACTCCACTCATCCTCTCAAGGTTTTATTCTGTGCATTACATACGTGTGTGCGTCTGCCTGTGTGTATAATCACATACAGCCACGTATATATAATTTTTTTAACAAATAGGATCATACTTTCAGTTCTGCAACTTACCTTTTTGTTTACTGTGAACACTTTGGATCTAGGTAATTAGCTTGCCTTTCAGCATAGAGTTTTATTTAGAATTAAAAAAAACTTTTTTGGACTCTGGCATGATTTTTTTTTTTTTTTGAGGAAGATTGGCCTTGAATTAACATCTGTTGCCAGTCTTCCTCCTTTTTTCCTTTTTTCTCCCCAAAGCCCCAGTAGATAGTAGTATGTCATAGTTGTACGTCCTTCTAGTTGCCCTGTGTGGGACACCGCCTCAGCATGGCCTGATGAGCGGTGTGTAGGTCCACGCCCAGGATCCAAACCAGGAAACCCCAGGCCACCGAAGTAGATCGTGCGAACTTAACCATTACACCAGCAGGCCGGCCCCTCTGGCATGATTTCTTAACCCCAATCAGTATATTTTAAGTCGTATGTCTGTTCAAATGCATGTAAGTGCCGTGACTTATAAAATATAATTTTATTTTCAAGTAATACTGAAGTCTTAGTAGCTTTTGGTTGTTTTCTAGTCTCAGTTAAAGGATATTAAATATATAACTACTCTCATAAGGAGACTGGAGAAATATTTTGAGGTTGAAATGGGGCCTCGTACTTGAAAGAGTTTGGAAACTCCCAGGTGGAGGGTTGGGCAAGGTGCCTTCTAAAGTACCTTTCAGCTCTCCTGCGTTCTCCTGGTAAGCTCCTTCGTTGACGTAATCATTCGGCACATAACGATTGCTGACTTACTGTGTGCCGGGCAGGCTCCGGTCCTTGGTACATTCGCAGGAGCTTACATTCCAGGGGAAGCGGGTGGTAAACACCTGAAAGCATTGATGTGGTCGGTGCAGTGAAGGAAGTGAAACAAGATGAGGTGACAGAGAGCGGCTTTGGGGGCGCCAGCAGGGTGGTGATCAGGGAGAGCCGAGTGTGCCTGTGCTGTGCCCAGGGAGGGGGGCAGGCCTGCTGAAGCCCAATGGCCGGAGAGAGCTGCCTGCAAGGCTGCCCCAGCACAGGCCTTCACACTGACCCCCGCAGGCTCTGTGGCCTGGGGGTCATTGGCAGGCCTCAGTCTGGTCTGGGTGGCTGTACCCAAGACACTGATGGGGGCCTGTGGCTTTATACTCTTCTTCAGAAGACAGCATATTTGGCAGGGGCTGGGGTTTATGCTCGTGAGACTTTCCAAATTTGCAGCCCCCATCAGAGTCCCCACGTTCTGGGCACCATCCTCGCGCAGTCCAGGTGGGCCATGAAGGAGGTGAGAGGAGGGTGGGAGCCCTGCAGACCACCCTTTTCCCAACCCTGCTGCAGTGGCCGGGCTTGGAAGGGGTCGGGGCTCTCTAGGTGTCTTAGTTTAGTAGGAGTTTGGCAGAAGTCACTTCAGAAGTTGAACTTTTCTGAGATAAAATTCCAATCTGAAAGAAGACGTTAGGTGATCTATTGTAGCTTGTGGAGGAGGTACTTTGGCAGACTCTCTGATGGGGCCCTCACAGCACACTGATGGGTATGCAGGTGGCTGTTTTATCCTCACAGATGAGACAGCTGGGGCCCAGAGAGCTATTCAGTGACTGACCCCAAGCTGCCCAGCTTGGAGAGGAAGAGAATAGACACTCCCCCACCCTCCCACAACCCCGGCCTGGTGGAAGAAGTGAAGTGCTCCTGACTTTAAATGAAAAGCCAAGACTTAGGAAGGCAGGCATGGCTTCTAGACAGTGCAGGTCTCACTTTTCAGTTAGCCCCTATGGAGAAATCCTACCCCGGAGCCACCTGGCTTCCTGGAGAGCAGGTGATGTGATCCTCATTTTCATGAAAGGCTAGTGATTCTTTATCTTTCACTTTTATCTAGAGGTGAGCTCAGTGGGCAAACTCAGATCCTTTCAGAAGACTAGTTCCCAGTGGAAAGAGTAGATCCTTAAACCATAAAAACCTCCCGAGTGCTGGCCTGATGCCAGGGAGGGGGCTCAGGGCCCGGAAGCCCAGGAGGTGTGAGCAGGCAGGACGCTGAGAGTGGGCCGTGCTAGGAGGTTCTGCTCCCTGCTCTGCAGAGTGAGTGTGTTTGCATGTGTGAGGGAGCAGACCTGCTCGTCTGTGGTCACTTGTCCATAGCACTTATCTCAGCAAAGTGTGGCTTGCAAGCCCCAGGCCGCTCAGAACCTCGGCCTCTAAGTCTTCCTGAGAACTAGTGCGGGAACGAATGCCTGCCACCTGCTTGGCACTTGTCTCCTTTCTCTCTACTTGCTCCCAACCCACACTGGCCCCTCCGCCCTCTGTTAGAAAAGGCCTGCAGCTGGGGTTTCTCAGTGGGGCGCCTGCACTGTGACCCATGGGGTGGACCCCTACGAGTGTCACTGTCTTGGAGGGTCAGGACTGCTGTGCTCTGCGGCCTCTGGCACAGTCTGTGCCTCACTTGTCTCTAGAAGAGAGGGGTTCGTAGCTGGAGTCGCCTACAATGAGAGTCTCGCCTTTCTTTCCCTTTCTTCTTGGGGCTGACCATGCTGTCATGTTAATTTCTTGTCACCACACTTAGAAGGGTACACATAGATTAAATCAGAAGGTCACAAAGGATGCTGAGGTACTGGTCGGTTTATATTTATAGAGGGTCTGCTCCAGGCCAGGTGGTACTGGCCCTTTATGTGCGTTCTCCCATTTCATCCTCATGGCCACCCTGGGCAGAGGAGAGCCTTGTGTCACGGATGGGAAGTCAAGGCTTAGGAGTTAAGTGACTTGCTAAGTCACAGAGCTGGTGGGTGGTGGAGCCCCCTAGGGCTCTCTGCTTTGTGTGCCTGCCTCATACTAGGCAGGGGAGAAGGACAAAGGGAGGCTCGGCTGGGACAGGCCCTCTGGCTTCAGGCAGTTCGAGAGGGATTGGTGTTCTCCTTGTTGGGTCGTGTTGCCGGATACAATACAGGACACCCAGTTAAATTTGAAATTCAGAGAAACAGTAAGTAGCTTGTTTTAGTAAATGTATACCCCATGTAGTATTTGAGACATACTTACACTACAAAATTATTTATTGTTTATCTGCAGTTCAGACTTAACTGGGCAGCCTGTATGTTTATTTCATCTGGCAGCCCTACTTGGGGACCTCGGGAAACACACTGGGCCTAATGTGTGGGCACCTGAGGATGACAGAGGGTGCCTCACAAGCCGCCCTCTAAAGGTACAGGCCGCATGGCAGGTGGTGAGCTACCCATTGCAGGATGTATTCAGGTGCAGGCTGATAACCACTTGCTGGAGGGAGTTCAGGTTTCAGATGCCTAGTTGCAGTGAGAATGTTGAGATGAGGAGGAGAGTTGATTGCCTGGGTTGTCACTGAGCTCTGTCCCATCCAGCATTCAGAAGCTCTCTGAAATCCCTTGCTGTCAGCACTGTGAGGACCAGTTCTCCCTCCTGCCCAGGAGTGATGGATGGCCTCTGTCAGCTGGTGGAAATGGACCCCGCCCAGCATGGTCTCTTTAAGTGGTTTGGTTTGGCTTGAAGAAGCACTGTGTTAAAGGTGAAATGAAACACACTCTTTTGTCTCTCCTGCCAAGAATTGACTGTGACTTCCGTTTCTTTATGTGTCCCCTGCAGCAGAGTGCAACGTGTGTGACCCGCTGAGGACGGACGTGCTCTGCACGGCTCCTGGGCAGTGAGAGCATGAGGCACAGCCACCCCCAAGGTTCCGCACAGGCCCTTGCAGGCAAGTGAATGGAGACGCAGAAGGTCCAGTGTTCCTTTCTTTACTGCTTTAGAGATTCTCTAGGTGAGGCAGCATCCCGGCAAGGCAGGATTTTAAACACAGCCTGCGTGTAATTGCCTCAGAATGGCTTCTCTCCTCTGTGAATTCCACGCGGCAAAGGTCTGGCCCTTGGCAGGCCTCCTGCCCACCTGTTACCAGGCGCTGCTGGGTGCCGGGTACCAGCAACACGTTTTGACGTTAACGTGGGCCAGAAAGGAGCCAAGAGGCAGATCTGCAGAAGTAAAATCTTATCACGCGTTCCAAAAACAAATAGAAATGGCTTCTTTCCATGAGGTGTTTTCAATTTGATTATCAAATCTATAAGTTAATATTATTAACTAAGAGTAAAATGTTAAATACTGAGTCAAAATACACGTCGTATCAACAGAAAAAAATTTTTTTAATATTTGTATTGATTCTATTAACTGAAATCACCTGTTCTTTTTATTACCTTTTGTTTAGTTGACTTATCTGTAAGCAGCAGAGGCGTTTTCGCTTGTGTTTTCCAGGAAGAATCCCTGAATGGCTGGCGTTTGACAACATGCACCACCAGTGGCTTCTGTTGGCCGCATGCTTTTGGGTGGTTTTCATGTTCATGGTGGCTAGCAAATTCATCACGTTGACCTTTAAAGACCCTGATGGTAGGTGCACTCCCTCATGGAATGGGTTTTGGCTAATCTAGACCTTGCCATGATATTGTTTCTGGGTACATGCGCAGATGACCTTTGTCACAGAATCGAAGGAGTTTAATGCCACAAGTGACCTTGGAGGTCATGGTGTCCAAATCTCTCGTGTGACAGAGGTGTGAGAGGGGAGGTAGAAAGGGATGGAAGGAAGCACTTCCCCTGGGGGCAGGCGGAACGTGCTTTCTTTGTGGGCTTCCTTGGTGGCCTCCTCCCAGCAAACCATGCATCAAGGCTTCTCGCAGCCTCCGGGTCTAGGAAGTCACCCTGCTCGGGGTCATCGTGAGACGCTGCCAAGATTGCTCAGCCTGCCCCTGTGCCAGCTGGTGCTGTGCGCTGGTGACCCCGTGTTTGGAAGTCACCTTCAGTTCGCTGGAAGGAAGGTGATTTAAATATCTCTATGTCAGGTTGTCTTCAAGGACTTTTTAACTCCCCTTGACTTGATGTAGGCGCTCAGATGAGGGCGTAGAAAGAGCACCACGCCCAGCCTCAGAAGAGCTGATTCTGGTTCATGCCCCTGACCTTTGCTTACCTAGGCCTTAGTGTTTTTTCTACAAAACGGGCGTGCTGCCTGCTCTGACAGCTCCAAGACTGACCTGAGTCCACGAGGCTCTCTGTGATGTGGGAAGTGCTGGGTACACGTAAGGGGGTGCGGTGATGGTCACCTTGAACCCTGAGGCCACTGCTTTCAGTGGCAAAGTGAGGCAGGGCACACAGGAGATGTCGAAAAGGCTCATGAGCAACTTTGATTGGCCTGACAACACCTGCCTAATAGGGAGGCTGCGTGTGAACATGGGTGCGCCCAGCATCTTCAGTCTGCACAGCACTTTGCACATTCTGTTGCAGACGGTGCCCCTTAGGAAAGGGAGATGAGAAAGTGTCCATTCCAGCAATTTTCCTCATTTATTCCTGGCGGCTGCACAATCTGTGCTGTCCGTGTGACCAGCAGGCTACAGGCTCTGCTGCACTCCAGAGAGTTCCTGCGTGTCCCTGCTGTGCTGAGGGTGCCCGATGCCCCCACCTGCCCCCATCATCTCTGTCTCCCGCCCTGTCTGTAGAGGGACAGCAAGGCTGGAAGGCAGATCTGCAGGCCAAAGAGGGAAGCCCTGAAATTGGCCCAAAGGGCTGGTTCTCAGCTCATTTCCACTCAGTAAGTGATCAGGCCCTTAGTGCTTCAGGCCCCAACTGGCCGTCATCACAAGTCCCTCCCTCATCTTCCAGAAGCCCTCGTGAGAACCTGAGAGGTTTTCACAGCCTCAGGAAGGTGGTGTTACACCTGCAGTTCTCTGGGGTCCCAGGAGCATTACAGAGCATCGTGGAGCATCACGGATAATCACGGCTCACACTGGGGACCAGGGCCTCCGTCAAGACAGCAAGGGCTGAATGTTGGAGGGTTGTTGGAATTTGAGATGAAGATCTCAGCTTGACAGTTTGGACATGCCTCCAGCTGCTCCAGCGCAGTTACCTGCTACCTGGAATGGAGACCCCTTGTTAAGCAGTAGAGCAGTGGTTCTCGCCCCCATGACACTTTAGAATCACCTGCCGGACTTTGTAAACCTTCCGCTGCTTGGGCCCAACCCGAGACCAAGTGGATTAGAATCTCGAGCAGCGGGTGCCAGTGGAGAACCGCAAACGTAGGATCTGGCTGGGAAACCAAAAGAGAAACGGAGCTGCTGAGAATGTGAGATCAGTGTCGCTGGGAGTCCACACATGACTCCTGACGCCGTCACCTGTCACCTCCCGGTGAGGAGAGCGCTCAGAAGGCACGTCATGAGGTTCAATTGTTTATGGTTTATATTGTTTAAAGAAGTTGGACTAGAAGTAATATATTTTATGAGACTTCCACCAAAAATAATGAAATAAGATGTGTGCCTTTGCATTGTGATGCTCTCAGGCAGAACAGCTTCTAAAGAACACCTCCTTCCTCAGTGGTGTCTGATAAATGAGGTATCGTTCTGCTCTGATGTGGCAAGTTGTATGCTGAATCTTTTCAGAAAAGTGTAGAAGCTCTAGAGGGTTTTGTGAAGGGAGCAAAAAGTTAAAGGGATAGGAGGTAAAACCTACAGAGAAGGATGAAGGGCTTTAGGAGTTCAGACCTGGAGGAAAGCTCTGTGGCAGTCCTCAGTGCTGCTCCCCACACGTGGCCAGCCCTGTAATTAAGGCGAATGGTAACTCCTCACACCCCTTGGTGTTCGGTGTGGCTGCTGTGGTCAGGGGTTGGGAGCGCAGTGGTGCGACCACTCTGTCGGGAACGTTAGGGCCAGGGCACACTTGCCCAACTCCCCCTTCCCACCTCCGGGAAACATGGAGAGAGCTGCCCAAGGTGGTGGCCGTGAGGGTCGTGTCAGCCCCGCAGTGTGCAGTGGACTTAGAGGGAGAGCCCTTTGTTGTCGGGCCAAAAACATAACCCAGCCTTTCTTGACCACACAGGATCTTACCTGATTGTCCCTGGGTACCTGGTCAGGATCACGAGGATGGATGTTGGTTGGCTGAGTTCTGAATGAAGAAGTTGAGCTCACACGCAGGGTGTCCTGCCATTATGGATGATGAGCAGGGGTCGAGCACCCAAGAGAAGTTAAACACAGCCCCAGGGGGGCCATCAGAGAGGGCCTTGTGCCAGGTAGTTCAGGCATCTCCTGCCCCTCCAGGGCTGTGGTTTAGTGGGTACAGCCACATAGTCTTAGGGGGCCCCTCTGTCTGGGGAGGCAGTTAACCCCCCCGTGGATCCTGGAGCTGTACAGGAAAGTGACAGAGGTTTGTAAAGGCGTGGCTGTTAAGAGATTTTCTCGTGTTCAGTGTTTTGCTTTTGGACCAAAAGCCCATTGTAAAGTATCATCACAAGGAAATAACTGACAACACAGTGGTATCCTATGTGATGAATTCTGTTTCCTGTAAAGCGGATGGCAAATCCGTGATCTCAGTGTTCAGGGAGCCGGTTGTAACTCCGGTGTCTGTGGGACTGCTCCTTCTGGCTCTGTCTCCTGGGAAATGGGGCTCTGTTCCAGAAACCCAGTCAGTGGGTGTGTGTGTTTTCTTTTCACCTACCTGTTCTGAATGGTTTGCCCACCACTTGAGCCGATAGGAAGAACAGACTTATCTTGAACTGTTTAAAGCAGTGGTTACCTTTTTTCTTAAAAATAGTGTTAGGGTCTCTCCTCAGCTCAGCAATGAAGCCACAGTGATGTTTGTCGCAATGACTTATCCTTGGTTAACCAATTTCAGTGTCAGATTGAACTAGAATCAGGTGTTATGACTAGACTTTATCATAGGGAAATAAATCCCATTCAGTGATGGGAATTTGAGGGCATGGAATGTTGAGACGTGAACAGAAATGGCATCCTTGTCAGTCTGGTGTGTATGTGTAGACACTGGTTTTTCTTCTCACTTCCGTTTGACTTCCTCTTCCAATCTTTTGCCTCGACTCCGCCCCTCAACTTGGTTGTGAGTCTTGAAGGGCAGAGCCCATGACTTGAATGTCTTTGTGTGCCCTCTGCCCAGCATGTGATGGAGTGATGATGCTGGGCGACTGGATGCACAGCGTGGCCAGGGAGATGAGTGGATGTGATCACTTCTAGAAAAACAAGGCAGTACGTCCCTTGACAAATTTAAAGACATTTGTAAAACTATAAATATAATGATGCCTATAACAAAAGTGAGCTAATACAAAACCAGATGTAAATTGTGTTACCAGTTTTTATTTGAATCTAGTTGAATCAGGATCGAGGGGAGTAGAGGAGCAAATACTAGGAAGTCTATAAATGATAAAAATGTTAAAAATTGGTGGATGACTGGCCAGTGTGTGTGGTATTGGAAGGTGAGATGTTTCACAGCTTCCAAAGCCTGTTCTGTGTGCTTCCGACTGTGTGAAAGAGGTTGCTTTTCAAAAATTCATTGATTAAGTCAATTGTTTGGAATTCAGAATACATTGTCCTATGTAAAATGTTACTAAGGAAGCTTAGTTTTCTACGAAACCCGTTCAGCCTCTGCGAGCTGAGCGTCGCGGTGCTAGTGCAGCGGTAGATGTTGGTGGAACACCAGGTGACCAGACAGAGGGGAATGTGAGTTTCTTTATGAGCATGTCAGTGCTCAAAGATGACAAGGACTCGAAGGAGGAGGAGGGACAGACCTTGGTCTCTCAGAGCCCCGGAGAGCATCCAGGAGCTATAGGGGCTGAGGTCCCTGCAGTTTTGTCTATTTTTACAGCGTACATTCTGCTCTCTGTCCTTACTGCAGGTACAGAACAGCTCCTGGGCACACCTTCGGTCAGGATTGCATTTTAACTCAAACATAAAAAAAGGAAAAAAGATTTTAGTGGCGTTCATAAAGGCATGTGGCAGAGAGATTTATATTGGAGTCAGACAACTCAAAGGTGTCAGAGATGGGAGATGGGAGTGTTGTGAGGCGTTTTCATCCTCCCCCTGCAGGAGGACTTCAGGCCACAGGAGCTGGCTAACAGCAGTGCCCGCTGGGGGTGGGAGGTGGGGAGTGAGGGACGTGTAACAGCCAGACTGGGGCAGGTGGGGGCTGCAGGAGAGTGTGCAAAGTGTTGGTATTAATGACCCAGGAGGAGTAGGTTTTGATTTTTTTTAAAGGGAAGTGTGCCTTTGTGCTTTGTTATGCTGATTTTCATGCTTTTATTTGATATCGGCTTTTTCTTTCTAATTATGTATTAGGCTTTACAAAATTTTGAAAGCAAATGTTTCTTTGATTGTGGAGATCTGAACATTAACTTCAAATTCTACCCCAAAGGTTTTCCCCAAATCAGTTTGTTGTAAATTATTACTCTGGACCAGCATTTTGTAAGATTCCTCTAGTCTTACCTCAGTTCCCATGAATTTGTAAACTAATGTGTAAGCACTAACTTGACTGCTAATTTGGCTTTGTTTTTAATTAAACTTTTAATTTTGAGATTTGCAATTGTAAGAAATAACACCGAGTTCTGAGTACCTTTTACTCAGTTTAACCCAATGGTAACATGTTGCAAAACCACAGTGCAGAATCACAAGCAGGATATTGACATTGATACAGTCAGGATGCAGAACATCTCCATCACCACTAGGACCCCTGTGTTGCCCTTTTATAGCCACACCTACCTCCCTCTCCCCATCCTCTACCCCTGCCCCTTTCTCCCTTGGCAACCACTAATCTGTTCTCGTCTCCATAATTTTTTCTTTTCAAAAATGTTATATACAGTGTGTGACCTTTTGGGATTGGGTTTTTTGTTCAATGTAATTCCCTGGAGCCTCATCCAACTTATTGTGTGTATCAATAGTTGGTTCCTTTTTATTGCTGAGTAGTATTCCATTGTATGGGTGTACCACCATTTGTTTAACTTTCACCTGTTGAAGGCCAGCTGAGTTGTTTCTAGTTTAGGGCAATTACAAATGAAGCTGCTACAAAATCTGTGTAGGTTTTTGTGTAAACATAAGTTTTCATTTCTCTGCCCAGAAATGTAATTGCTGGGTCACTTGGTAGTTGCATGCTTAGTTTTAAAGAAACTGCCAAACTGTTTTCCAAAGTTGCTGTACCATTTTACGTTACCACCAGCAATGTATGAGTGATTCAGTTTCTCTGCATCCTCACTAGCATTTGGAGTTTTCACTATTTTTTATTTTAGCCATTTTGATAGCTGTATAGTGGTTTCTCATTTGTGGTTTTAATTTGTATTTGCCTGATGGCTAATGATGTTGAACAAGCTTCATGTGTTTATTTACCACCTGTAGAGCCTTTTCAATGAAATATCTGTTCATGTCTTTTGCCCATTTTCTAATTGAATTGTTTATTTTTTTTACTGTCTTTTTTTTTTTTTTTAATAATATTATTTATTTATTTTTTTTTTCCCCAAAGCCCCAGTAGATAGTTGTAGGTCATAGCTGCACATCCTTCTAGTTGCTGTATGTGGGATGCGGCCTCAGCATGGCCGGAGAAGCAGTGCGTCGGTGCGCGCCCAGGATCCGAACCCAGGCCGCCAGCAGCGGAGCGTGCGCACTTAACCGCTAAGCCACGGGGCCAGCCCTTTACTGTTAAGTTTTGAGAGTTCTTTACATATTCTAGATGTTAGTCCTTTGTCAGATATGTAGTTTGCAATATTTTCTCCCAGTCTGTAGCTTGTCTTTCCATCCTCTTCACAGGGTTTTTGCAGAGCAAAAGTTTTAAATTTTGATGAGATTTGGCTTATCGATTTTTCCCAAGATTCTCTCCTATTTTTTTAAAGTTTTATGTTTGTGCTGATCCATTTTGAGTTCCATCTTGAATAAAGTATGAGGTTTTTTTTGTCTACAGATGTCCAATTGCTCGAGCACCATTTGTTGAGAAGACTCTCCTCCACCGAATTGCTTTTGCACGTGTGTCAGATATCAGTTGGGCACATTGGTGCAGGTCTCTTTCTGGGGCCTCTGTTCTGTCCCGCTGATCCGTGTGTCACTTCTCCATGAGAAGACGTTTTAACCTCTCTGTCTCCTAGCCTACGGCGCCAAACAGGAGTTTCTGTTCCTGACCGCTGTGCCAGACGCAGGGAGGTTGCCGGGAGAGAAGCACTTTCCTGAGGAACTGAAGGTGGGCACAGTGAGGCTGAGGGCACTGTCCCCTCTGACCCGGTCAGCAGAGGAGCAGGGCAGCCTCTTCCAGTTCTTACCTGTGGTGTCTCCCTCCCGCCTGCTCACCCTCTCCTGCCCCACGGGGTCCCCCATTGTGTGGGAACTGGCCTCCCCTCTGTCCGTGCTCTCGTCTCATCAGCTGGTTTCCACTCACCGTCACGTTCTGCTTTATAGTTGCTGCTTTTGTTACTTATGCACAATTCTGCTCATCTTTTTACTTCTCTTTGGAGGAGGCACGGTCACGTCTGTTTTTATGTTCCTCACAATGCTTTGCATATCATGGGTGCTCTGTATTTGTTGATTGTGTTGAATTCCCGAGCAGCTGCGAATGAGCCTTGCCGGGGGAATGGAGGGTGGTGGGCAAGGGCAGGAGAAAACTGAGGGAGTGGAAAGAGATCTCTGACCCTAAATCATGGAATCTTAGAGTTAGAAGGGGTCTTGGACAGAAGAGCAGCTAATCCAACCTCCGAACAGTATGGATGAGAGAACTGAGTTCAGGAGAAAGGCTAATCATCCCAGATCGTGTGGGCATTGGCGGTGGAGCCCACAGCTGTGACTGTCACCCTGCATGCACCTTCCTGACATTTGGGCTCAAGTCTCTCACCGCAGGCTCCTTGTGCACATAAAATCCTAATTGTCCCCCAGCCAAGGTGAGGGATACACTTTGAGATCTGGAAGGTTTAGGTTGCAGTTGTGCCAGAAGGAATGGAATGGGTAGAATTAGACCAGAGAGAAAGGGACAGTTCCTGTCCAGGATTTGCAGTGTAAGGACAGTAGATTAGAACCCAACAAAGTCTAGAAAAGCATGCACCAGGCCAGAGTAAAGTGCTGTTGGGGTTTGGTTTACTTTCCGCAGGACATTGATGGAATAGAGATCAAGTCTGCAGATCGCTGGAAACAGGCCGGGATTGTTGCTTGTAGGTTGAGCATTCCAGGGCAAGGAAAGAGCGTGGATGGACCACAGAGACAGGAAACCAAAAATCCCTGTAGGAAAAGGAGGGTAGCTTTAACAGAAAGAGTTAAGGAAATAAAGTTTCATTGCTTGGATCAATAATGACGCAAAGGTAGGGTAAGGGTTTTGCAAGAGGAGTACAGTGCTGTGAGACAGGGCACGGCCAGGATGCTGCCAAGCTGTGAACAAGAGGGAAATGTCTCATCCTGGGGTCGCTCTGAGGGGATGGGGGATGCTCTGCCTGTGAAGACTGTTGGCCTGCAGGAGTAATTGTGGTTGAAGGTACCTGTCAGTTACAAGCACCTGAACGTGCCTGTCAGTTACAAAGCACTTTACTGGGTTTTAATTTTATTGGTCCTCGAGAGCAGCCCTCAGAGGTGTAAGTATTTCTCTTCTCATTTGCAATTGGAAAATGTGAGGCTCAAGGAACTGACTCAGCGTGTCAGGGACAGCAAGTAGTGGGCCTGGACATTCAACTCAGTGTCCCCTGTCCCCTTCTCTTCTACCCTATCCCACTGATTCTCGTGGAACTCAGATGCGAGCTGAAGGAAACAGGGAGCAGTGGTCAGACAGAATTCTCTGAAACCAAGAATCAGTGGAAGTTAAACTCACCATAGGTTTTCCCAAAAGAAAGGTGATTTAGAAAGGTGATCAGGTTGCGTGGCTTACCTTTAAAAGTTTATTTTGTGCATAATATAGCTGAATATTTGAGTGGAAAATAGTGAAAAATAATCTCAGTCATTAAAATTGATTGAGTTTATTTGCGAAGGGAAAAAATAGAAAACGGAGCCAATCGATAAACACAATTGAACGAGAATTATTTTTCTTTATATATAATGCTTAAGAAAAGCAAATTTGAAGGGCCAACCCCAGTGGCCTAGTGGTTAAATTTGGCACACTCCACTTTGGCAGCCTGGGTTCGGTTCCCGGGCACAGACCTACACCACTCGTCTGTCAGGGGCCAAGCTGTCATGGCGACTCCCATACAAAAAGAGGAAGATTGGCAATAGATGTTAGCTCAGGGCGAATCTTCCTCAGCAAAAGAAAAAAAAAAAGCAAATTTGACAATGGTGGAGATTTTTCTGCAGTTTCTCAAGAGAACTTGTTTGGAGGTGCTGCCTTGTGCTGCTCTTGAGCATCAGCCATGATCCAGGTTAGATCTGAGGTTTACAAAGATTGGAATAGAGTGAGGAGAAGAGAGAGAGATTGTCTCTAAGTGAGCAAGAGTTGACGTCAATGAGGGAATGAGGTTAAAGTGGACTCCATTTATCAGAGCAGGAAGGCGGGTGCCTGGTGCCGTCCCTGGAGACGTGCGAGGGCCAGGGCAGCAGGCTGGTGCTCCTGCTCCTGGGGAGGAGCAGAGGTCACTCTGCGAAGGAGCAGAGGCAGTGAGTCTGCAGGTGCCTGCTTTCACCTTCAAAACGTCTTCACCTCAGGAAGTGTTGTTAGGAATCTCAAGACATCCTTCTTCCTCCAGGGAAACCTAGGAAATAGTCAGACACGAGAGAGAAAGACTGTCCTGGAAAAAGGTTATGTGCATCAGGGAGTTTGGTTATGGTAGAGCCTTGAAGGAGGAGCGGGGAGCCAGCACTACCTTTGTTGTCCCAGTATTTCCAGTGTCCTTTTTCTAGTGTGTTCTATAAGGCTTACATCCTTCTCCCCATTTTGTAACTGACCCAGTCCCTCGGGGAGGACAGGTTGCTACAACTGCCCCATAAATGGACTGCCTGGCAAGCCTAGTGCATTTTGCAGATATGATGAGGGCATTTTGGTCCATTCAACAAAGTTAAATTAGAGGCACCATCTGCTTTGAAATCTTGAGAAGAAGTCCTATGTAACTTTAAGAGAATAAATAGATGTAACAGCAGAAACATTTCAAAATGCTGAGATGGCCAAAGGAGTGGGGTTGGAGGAAACAGCCTCCCTTCAGAACTGCCTTTCCGGAAGCTTCTTGGAAAACTAGGGGATGTCTGTGGGCAGACATTCTACCATGATGTGAACAGTGAGGGGATAATGTCACCAAGGATGGGGGGGTCACTGAACAACTTCTGCCTGTGCTGGTGCTTCTCCCTCTGCCCCTCCGTCCCCCTCACCTCCACCCCCCAGCACACACACACATGCAGGCAGTGCACGTGCATGTACACGCACAGTGCCACACGTGTTCTTTCTCAGCTGAGGCCTTCCCGGCGTCTCTACAAAACTCTGCAACTGCGTCTGAGCACAGAGGAAAGACTCAGTAAACATTTGTCAAACGATGGATTCTGCCTGCTAACGAAGCAGCAGAATGTGGACTCAAGCATGAACAAAAGGCTTCTTGTGTTATAGATATTCTCTAGGGTTCTAAAGCAGACCCAAGGAGTATGTGTTGTAATTTGGAACTGAGTTTTTTCATCTTTTTTTGTTTTTTTAAGTCAACCTTCTCTCAAGAAGGAAAGTCAAATGAGCCCATTTTGCGTCCATTTTCCTTGCCAACTATCCTGATTCATCTCTGATTTACTGGGCACTGGAGAGGCCCTGAGGCCACTTCAGGAAGTGGCTGGAAATAGTGGTTGTCACTCCGTAGCAAAGGGAGGAAGGCAAGAAGAGAAGGGGCCCGTGGAAGGTAAGACAGGGACAGGCCAGCCCTGGAAGGAAGTTCAGAGGGGGCTCTGGGACACAGTTGTGGCTTTTACTTGGGGCAAGATCCTGCTGAAGGAAGAGGGAAAAATGATGTGCTATCTTAGCAGAGCCACCTTTGGATACAGAAAATGTGTATAGATGTGTCAGATGTGGTAGAAATATTCCACAGAGGACTTGGACCAGTGTCATAGAACTTTCCAGAAGTCTGTATAGGTTAGCTTCCTCCACCAGTCAGTATTTTTAAATCAAGTTTTTTATTAAGAAGTAATATATACTCATTGTGTATTTAAAGAAATACCCAAAATTGAAAAGGAAAAACATCAACTACGGTCATAATCCATAACTCTCTTCAACCACTGTCAGAACTTCTGTATATTTCCTTTTTAAAAAGCATCCATCGAGATATAACATATATGGTACGTGACTCCGTTTCCTCAGTGATAAGCACCCGATTGTGTTTCTCTGTAACGCACTTTTAGGGGAGGGGAGGGTTTTGCTTGGTCGTCACGTCAGTCGTGCCAGAAGTTGAGCCACCGTGGGCAAACGCTGGAGCACGTCAGCGCTAGTTTCTGCTCTAAGGAGTCATTAAACCAGGAGAGAGAATCTGTGTGAGCTGTGGGGTGAAGGCTCTGACGAGACACCCCTGCCCGTCCCTAAAGTAAGATGACTTTCTCCCTCCGTCTCATGAGCCCCACCTCCGCCTGCCCAGATGTCCTGAGGAAAGGACGGTTCCTGAGGATATAGGCGAAAGGGCTCACCATGTTCCAGGTACAATCAGCAAAGACATCCACGCTGACATATCCTGGCAAGATTTTTTTTTGTTGTTGTGAAACATCCATGCCAATCCTCCTCTTTTTGCTGAGGAAGACCGGCCCTGGGCTGACATCCGTGCCCATCTTCCTCCACTTTATATGGGACGCCGCCACAGCATGCCTGACAAGCAGTGCATCAGTGCGTGCCCGGGATCCAGATCCAAGCGCACACTTAACCACTACACCACGGGGCCGGCCCCATATCCTGGCAAGATTTTTAATGTGCTAGAATCATGACAGAAAAAAATCCTACAAGCACCCAGGTATTAAAAATGGGGTGCCTATAAAGAAATGGCGATGGCAGGGGCACGGACCTCTCTGCACTTTTCAATCCCAGAATATGACCAGGCCTCAGCTCAGGAATTTCGTAGGGAGAGTTGTGACTCAGGAATTTCGTAGGGAGAGTTGTGACTCAGTATTTTCACTGGAGTTGTATTCTCTGTGTGAAGGCCACAGAGAAACTGTCTTAGCTGCACATGGGCTAGAAATTATACCTCCTATATGCTGTTTTTTTGAGGGGAAAAATGCTATTCAGAGACGTATTCCAGATGACTCAGATAATCAAGACAAACACTTCAGAAACTGGGACATCACAGAATAAAAGTAGCAGCCGTTTCCCTCGTGCAGCTTGGACCCCGACCTTGGAAACCCCAGCAGAGCTGGTGCCCCCAGCAGGTCCCCTGGTCTAGGGGCCGAGGTGGGCTTCCAGCTCGCCCACTCCTGCCTGGTTCTAGGCCCCCTGTCCCGGCGGGTAGGGGTGTCTGGTGAGAGCCTTGCACAGATTTTCTCTCCTGGTTTGATGACCCGTTAGAGCAGAAACCAGCACTGACGTGCTCCAGCATTTGCTCACAGTGGCTAAACTTCTGGAACAAGTGACGTGATGACCAAGCAAAACCCTCCCCTCCCCTTAAACTGCATTATAGAGGAACACAGTCGGGTGTCTGTCACTGAGGAAACGGAGTCACGGTTTCTGCATTTTTAAAACCCATACTGAATGACCTCAGGTATTGTTTTAATTAATAAACCAGATATACCAGTATACCACAGTCTCTTCAAAACAGTCACCAGTGTGTAGACAGCTGGCCCTTAGGTACAGTGCACATATGGACACTCAGAATTACATGGAGGGACCTGCTAGGGAGAACGGAGCGGGAGCCGGGCCTTCACTAAAATTCCTGAATGAGAAGTATGTGCTGTTTCCGGGAGATCATGGGCCATGATGCCATCAGCAAAGTGACAGGCAGACAGCCCACCCGCCTCCTCGGTTTGTCCAAGCTGAGGAGGAAGAACAGGAAGATTCGCTGTCTCTGATTGAGCTGTGGTCCCGCACATCCGCGTAGCCCGAAAGCCAGGCCCCTGGCGGTGGATCACGCCCGCAGAGTCCTGCTGTTTCGGTGAGGGCAGCCCCGTGGTTCGCACGCCTGTGTATTAGCGCAGGGCCCCCAGGGGCATCCTGCAGGGCTCTCCCCTGTCTTCTACTAATGAAGCCCTTGTGCCTTCTCATTACTTGCAGCCGACTGGGAAGATGCTTTCCAGCAGCCGGCTTGCTCAACCCCTGGTCTATATGGAGCGCCTAGAACTCATCAGAAACGTCTGCAGGGATGAAGCCCTGAAGAATCTCTCACACACTGCGGTCTCCAAGTTTGTCCTGGACCGAATATTTGTCTGTGACAAGCACAAGATTCTTTTCTGCCAGACTCCCAAAGTGGGCAACACGCAGTGGAAGAAAGTGCTGATCGTGTTAAATGGTGCGTGCAGCGCCCAGTGACCGTCACGGGCGGTGGACATCTGGGTTTGCCCGGGAAGGTCACTGACCTGGGTGGGGAGGTGGAGAGGAGCCAGAGGAAGGGACGGTTCTCCTGAAAGAGCTGGTCCCTTAAGACAGTTCTCTGTTGTGTTTTTCCTGTTAGTGTGGTACTTTAAAAGCTGGTGGGTTAATTTCAATACTGTTGTTTTCAAAGGGCCACACTGAAGGTCAGTTTCTCCCCACTTTCCACAGTGGGATCCCCACCTCGGGCAGCCTGCCCACCCAGGTTGATCCTTCTTTTGTTCTCTTCAGATGCATTGTGTTGATTCTTACTAGTCACTAGCTCTGTCCTGGTAGGTCAAGGCGCCACACTCCCTGAGCCCAGGAAGACACCCTCCCAGCTCCCCTTTCTGTAGTGAGAAGGGCCCACACCCACCCCGTGCCAGGTGGCTCTGGGGGCCTCTTCATCTGCAGACGAAGTATTCTGTGCCACTTGGGTAGAAAAATTGTCCCCATTTTACACTGAGCATCGACATTCAGAGGGTTTAGTTGACTTGCTTCAGGAAATCTGATATTTATCTGGGAACGAATCAGATCATTCACTGAGAAGTGACCTCATATGCGACAGTTTTGTTTTGTTTTTTTTTTGCTGAGGAAGATCGGCTCTGAGCTAACATCTATTGCCAATCCTCCTCCTTTTTTTTTCCCCCAAAGCCCCAGTGGATAGTTGTATGTCATAGTTGCACATCCTTCTAGTTGCTGTATGTGGGACACGGCCTCAGCATGGCCAGAGAAGCGGTGCGTCGGTGCGCGCCCGGGATCCGAACCCGGGCCACCAGTAGCGGAGCGCGCGCACTTAACCGCTAAGCCACGGGGCCGGCCCTCACGACAGTTTTTGATTACTCACCACTCTTCAGACACCATGTTTATTTGTTTAAACTCCAATTACTCTGAACTGATCCAAGATAATTATGGGCTCTGTCCGTTAAATTCAGCTTCAGAAGGAGCATAATTCCAGTCGCCCACAGTGTGGCTTCCTGGATCAGAAATCAGACCTCAGAGCACTGTGGGCGATGGCCCTGGGGTCCCCGTCCTCCACGCACCACCCCTGCTGCTGTTCTCAGAGTTGGGGATCAGAGTTTGCTGTCATTGGGCCTTTTCACTAGTTGGTTGGTTGGTGGAAGAAAGGGAGACCCTGGCCTCATCTTCTGGTATATAATTAACGTGTTTCTTGAGTAATCTGACAGTATGTTGGATTTTTTACATGAAAGAATGAGGTTACAAATCAAAGTTAAAACAACGAATATACAAAAGTCTTACAAATCTGCCAGCACGGTATGAAGCGTCAGACTTTACAGAAGTAAACACCCATTGACAAGGGCAGGATAAAAATGGGAGAGGATTTGCCAGGCCATATACTAGAAAAAGGATGGTCCTTATGGCTGTCTCTGTCATCTGTAGACACACCTGCACGGCGACAGGTGGCCGAGCAGGGCCAGGTACCAATGCACAGAGCTGGTTCTGTCATCCTCTTGAGGGCAGGTGTTCATCTTGCGAGTTTCACAGCCATCCCCAGCACTTTGTGCAGAGTTCTGGACGATGCTTAAATATTTGGAGAAAGAATGAATAAAACAGACAAGACTGTGGCTACTGCCCAGATGGTCAGAAACAGAGATTCTTCCCTGCCAGACTCCATGGTTAACACGACAGAGTTAATGCAAAGATGGATGTGAAGGTTTGCAGAGGCCTGGCTAACCTCTTCTCAGATGAGATTCATTTCCATTTATCTGAGTTGAGAAAAGAGTGAAAAACCTGCCTGACCCACCAACCTGCCATGGGCTGCTCCAGCTTCCATTGAGCAGCCGGCCCCAGTGCTGTGCCTCTCTGTCCTGCCCTGCCTCCTCCTCAGACACTCCTCGTCCTCCTCGACCCCTGCTTCAGATATGTGACATCACTCCCACCATATCAGCCACCTTTTTCCTGCACCAAACATCTTTGCCATGTGCTAACCTGGGTGCCGCGAGGATACCTAGGAACCACCTTGGGCCCCGGGGGAATGTGGTGCTGGGAGAGCCTGGTCTGTTTAGAGTGATGGGCCCACAACAGTGCCGGGGGCCTAAATCAGCTGTATGTAGTCATGGTCTGCTCCTCTGGCATTTTCCCCCAATTTCAGAGCAGAATAAATATTGCTGGTTTTAGGAATTCTGTTTGCATGCAGTGATCTTTTTTAAATGTCAGATTTAACCCAGTTTAGGTGTATTGCCAGGGGGCATTACCAGTATTTCTACCCCTTGCTCCCGCTCCTTCTCACTCGTCTGTTTCCTCCAGTTGGTTTATGGATTACCAGAAGCTTTCCTCACTCGCTTATTCTGCCGGCAGAAGCAGTTGGAATTCAATGACCTAGACTTGGGTACTGGGGTGGGCTTGTAGGGGACCCGGGGCCCCGAGGTAAGAGACAAGCATCTTGCTCTAAGGATGGCACTGAGGCAAGCGGCCGACTGGGCTTCTCCCTTGTTTCTCCCTTGTTTACTTCCCAGGAGCCTTCCCTTCCATCGAAGAGATCCCCGAAAACGTGGTTCACGACCACGAGAAGAACGGCCTCCCTCGACTCTCCTCCTTCAGCGACACAGAAATTCAGAAGCGGTAGGAGCAGGTTCCTAAGGGGGGCAGTTTTGATGAAACCCGAGGCTGTTCTGTACTTGCTGTGTCTCCCAGATTGCTCCCGGAATACGGGGGCTGTTGGTGAGGGGCGGTCGGGCATCTGCCCAGCACTCAGTGCATTTAAATTCACAGATCTTGATGAGAATTTCAGAATGTCTTCTCCACCCTTACCTTTATGCAGTCCATTAAAATGAAGGTTACATAATTTTCTTAATAGAATTGAGTGGTGGTTTTTGTTCTGCTTTGGTTTTGTTAAGTTTTATGGATTCCTTACTGGATACGACCTTTATTTCATAAGAAAGGGACTGGGGTTGCAGGGAAACCCCACTTAGGTGTTCCTTTTTCCAAAAGCATTACACCTGCTTCCGCGGTAGCTGCCTGCAGGATGGTGGTGTGGACTGGACCTGGCACAGGCAGAGACTGACCTCAGTGATCACCGCCAGGATGGAGACTGGCGTGGGAAAAATTACTGAGCTAATCATTGAAAAGTTCTCTTTATTAGCTATGAAACGGCCCCGTAGAACAAGGTTCCAGAGGAATAAGAATGCATAAGCAGCAGATAAATGTCAGGGCACCAGATGTACTGTGACCTCCCTTGCTTGTCAGCTACTTGATTTTCATTGCTTCCGGCGCTGGTTTTTCAGTCTTCCCATCTTGTACAGAATCTTTAGAACGCAGGTGTTAAAGGCCCGGTCAGAGATCCTCCTGGGGAAGGTGGTCCTGGTATCCCCCAAGCACTGATCTCCTAGGCTTCTGTGAGAGTGAGTTAAGATGCGCAGAGCCCTGAGAGCGGTGTCTGGCATGGAAGATGCACACCGTCATCACAGCAGTGTCCAGTGTCGTCGCTGTTGAGTCACCCTCATCACAGGCCCTTCACACTGGCACCTCTGCCCCACTCCCAGACCACCTTTCCCACGAGCTGGAGCTGCAGCCTTGCTCTCCATTGTCCCTCACTTCCCCTCCCTCTTATTTTCCCTTCCCTGGTAGTTTGGAATTGAATTTTTAAAGACATGCCCTTAAAGTAACTTTCTCTGGCCTCCGCTGTTCCTCACTCACTCATGGTTCCTGCCCTTACGATTGTCTGCCCAGGAACAAAACTTGTAAGTGGTCTCAAAGTTTTGAAATATTCAAATACAATAAAACATAGGTTAAGTAGATGTCTTCATAGTGCCCCCTTAGGATGCTGAGACCTGTGGCCTTGGACAGAGCAGGTTTCTGAGCCTCCCTTTCCTCACCTGTAAGATGGGTTAATCACGGGATCTGCTTCCAGGGTGCCTGAGTGGATTACGTAAGAGATGCACGTAATGCACGCATCACAGGGCTCGGTCTGGCCAAGGGTTCAGGAAACAGTGGCCACTGCTGCTCCAACTGGTATTCTTCACTCTTCCCTCCTTCACAACCATTACCACCAACAGCATCGGGTTTAACCTGTTTTTTATCTTCGTTTTTCCCTTAGCTTGAAAACATACTTCAAGTTTTTCATCGTAAGAGATCCCTTCGAGAGACTGATTTCTGCATTTAAGGATAAGTTTGTTCACAATCCCCGCTTTGAACCTTGGTACAGGCATGAGATCGCCCCTGGCATCATCAGGAAGTACAGGAGGAACCGGACAGAGACCAGGGGCATCCAGTTTGAAGATTTTGTGCGCTACCTGGGTGATCCAAACCACAGGTGGCTGGACCTTCAGTTTGGGGACCACATCATTCACTGGGTGACATACGTAGAACTGTGCGCACCCTGCGAGATCAAGTACAGTGTGATTGGTCACCACGAGACCCTGGAAGACGATGCCCCATACATCTTAAAAGAAGCTGGCATAGACCACTTGGTGTCGTACCCCACCATCCCTCCGGGCATTACCGTGTATAATAAAACCAAGGTGGAACACTACTTTCTGGGCATCAGCAAACGAGACATCCGGCGCCTGTATGCACGTTTCGAAGGGGACTTTAAACTCTTTGGGTATCAGAAGCCAGATTTTTTGCTAAACTAATGCGTAGGATTGTGAATTCAAATATCTTTGTTAGACCAGAGGCTAACCAAGTGGAGATGTGAGCACAGAAATGATACTTCCTTCATCACACTCCTTCTGAAGACTCCTGCAGTCTCCATGGACCTGTGCGTGCCTCGGCCGATGAAGCTGGACCCGGATCGTTACGACTCAGTTTGGACATGAGGCATATTGAGGGCCTTTGCCCCACCAACTGCTACCAATGCCTTTAGACCTTTGCTCTCCTCAGAAGGGGAAAAGGTCTAAACATTTGCAGTCTTACAGACCAGGGGGAAAAATAATATGGCATTAGGAGTCATTTCCCTCAGTTGTCAAAGAGGTGGGTGCACTCCCAGCTCCTCTGGATGGTGGGGTGGTCCTGCCTATGACCAGTGGATTGCAGGAATGGCACCCAGCACTTTGAGGACAGATGGAGAAGCTAATGGTCTGCAGCAATCACAGGAGCTAATACAGGGTGAAATCTAAGTAATAAAATGACATCTCTGGCTTTCACCTGGCGCTGCTATAATCACAGAGGCAAACCATTCTTTCCACAACTATTTTGTTCCTGTGAAATTCAGGGATGACCCGAGGGCACTTTTCAACAGTCCATCTTTCAGGATACATGCCTGTGTACCGCAAGTCCATGTATCTGAACCTCTGCCTGCCAAGTGATTATCTCATTTAGCCCAAGAGATATATTTTGAAAGTGAAGGGAGTGTATGTTCTTTCCACCTGAAAAAGGGAACATCTTTGGGCACCTTAGAAGGAACATGGCGTGGGAAAAGGAAGAGCTGGTTGGGTCTGGAGCTCAGGCTGCTGTGCATTTGGGCATGTCCATCCTGATTATGGCCCGTCTCTTTGTCCCGTCTGGATGGCGGTTCTCTACCTGTCATCTTCCAGGGCCCTCCCCTGGGGCCGAAGGCAAGCAGGGCCACATGCCAGCATTGCAGAATCAGTGCCGTTTACACATTTCAGTTTCCTTTCATCTCAGCAAAATGCTCACCACTGGACCCATTTCTGATAATGCCATCATCCTGGACTATAAGTTGGATAATCAAGTTCACCAGCAATAAAATCCTGGGCCGAGGCAGCCTCCAGGAACGCATCTTCCAGGCACTGCGGAGCAAGCCACGGCTACCATCCCACGCTGCCTGACGGTGAGGGCCCTTGAGACACAGGACGGTTTCCCTGGTAATAGTCGCAAGTGCTCGACTCTGCACGGTGCCCATGAGCCCAGTTTCTCTTCCAGGCAGCCTCAACCTTCCCTTTCTCAGAATGGCTCCCTGAGTTTGTAAATGTGAAAGTAAAATAAAATTAAAAATATGTGCCAAACCTTCCACGTGCCGCAGTTCCAGGGAAGGTCCTCCATGGCCACGCGTGGTCCCCGAGGCCTGGTGACAGTGACGGGCAGCACAGGTCTGCTCAGAGGGCTGCTGGTGACAGGACTGGGGAAGGGAAGCAGGGCTCAAGTGCCGCCGCCCGCGACGCTGACAAAGGGGCAGTGGGTGTGGTAGCCTTCCACCCTCACTGACACGCAAAGGATGTAACACAAGTTATTTTTCTATCAAGTTTTAGCAAAGTCTTGTTAAAATCACTTCACACCTAATGAGCTGGTTGATTACCTCTTTCCTGTTTGAACTGTAATCAAGTGAATAATGTATGTGAACTTAAGGCCTTCAAGTTAGTTCTAATTTTTAAAAAATGATTTTCTCTCAGAAACAAAAGGTTGGACACCTGGGTGCCCCTCCTCCCTGGGGCCTCTGGCATTTAGATTTAGGTCATTTTTCTCTGGCATTAAGGTCATTTTCCTAACATTTTGCCAGACAAGTAGAGCTTGCCACCAGAACATCTGGACATTGCACGGTAGGCCCAAAACGTGTGCCCCCACCACCACCCTCCTCACTGCGGCTCCCGTACCTGCACAGCCAGCCCCCTGGCATCGCGCAGCCCCTCACCCTCCACTGAAGTCGTCTAAGGGCCATCTCCAAAATCCACCTCCTCCTTCCCAGCCTTGAGAGCAGGTGCCCATTCGGTAACTGGGGCAGTTTTAAGCCACCTGCTTCCCAGAGGAGCTTTACAGTCGCTACCTGGAGCAGACCTGGTCGTGTCCTTCCTGGCAGCGCCCTGCCTGTAACAGGACATCCCTCAGCTGGCAGGCGTCGTCTGGAGGGCAGCTGTTTCAGCCTGGGCCCACGCACACTCCGGGGAGCAGTCTGCCTCGGCACTGGGCCCTCTCGGCTGAGCAGGGGCACTGCCGTGGGGCGGGGCTGGAGTGCCATCATGGGGCGGGGCCGGGGATGGGGCGCCAAGATCGGGGCGGGGCCGGAGTGCCATCATGGGGTGGAGCTGGGGGGCGGGGCGCCAAGATCGGGGTGGGGCCGGAGTGCCATCATGGGGCGGGGGCGGGGGCGGGTCAGCGCTCTCGGGGGGGCGGGGCACCAAGATCGGGGTGGGGCCGGAGTGCCATCATGGGGCGGGGCAGTGCCATCATGGGGTGGAGCTGGGGGGCGGGGCACCGAGATCGGGGTGGGGCCGGAGTGCCATCATGGGGTGGAGCTGGGGGGCGGGGCACCGAGATCGGGGTGGGGCTGGAGTGCCATCATGGGGTGGAGCCGGGGGCGGGGCACCGAGATCGGGGCAGGGCTGGAGTGCCATCGTGGGGCAGGGCGCCAAATCGGGGCGGGGCTGGGGGCAGGGCCCCAAATCAGGGCGGGGCCGGAGTGCCATCATGGGGCGAGGCTGGGGCGGGGTGCCATCATGGCGCGCTGCGGGGCGCCAAGGGTGGGGCGGGGCCGGGGGGGGGGCCCCGGGGGGGGGGGCGGGGCCGGGGGCGGGGCGCCAAGATGGGGGGGCGGGGTCAGGGTAAGAGGTCTGCCACCGGGCAAGGAGGACAGCTAATTCCCAGGGGGAGACACCTCGGGGTAAGGAGGACATGGGCAGCCAGAGAGAGTGGGGGAGATGTCTAGGTGAGAATGCAGAGATCACAGTGAGCCTGGATTTGAAAGAAATATAAGAAGCAACTCTGCCTTCAAAAAGTGGTCTCAAGGAAGGCAATCCCTAAATTTAAATGTTTACTAATATCAGATGGACTTAATAGGCTTGTGTCTTAAATCGCTTTTTTCTTATTGGATTTCTCCCCTTCACGTGCATTTTAGTTTTATTGATCTTAAGTTGAAAACCATTACAGTGAAATGTCCAGAGCTGAAATGAAATTTGATTTTCATGGGGCTGACTGTACACAGAGATGCTGCAGATCATTACATGCAAGGGACCCAGGCAGCCTCTGTCTAAGGGGTTCCTGGGAGGAACAGCCTCTGACAAGGGAGGGGTCCCAGAGGGTTACTGGAGGATGTTGGTCCCCATCCCCACACACTCTACGCCTCACCCTACCTCCACCCCAACTTCCCCACTCTAAACCCCAGCATGGCCTGCTCAACTGGAATCTTCAGAAGCAGGGAACAGCAGAAACCTGGATAAGAATGGGGGAAATAATCAAGACAGCAGCTAAACATGAGAGGAAGGAAGCCTTATTTCCTATTTGATGAAACTTATGTTGTTCAAGATACTTTTTCCAAGCCCCTCAGACATGCCAAGCCCTGCACCAGGGTTGTTCCAGAGCTGAGCAGAACAGCAGGCTCACAGGAGAGGAGAGGTGTGAGCAGTGCTGGACAGGACTGCACAGGCACAGGTAAGTGGGGGCAGTTTCCAGCAGAAGTGGCAAGTACACTGGGAGGATTAGGGAAGGTGTAGGGAGCAGAAATTATGTCTTTGCTTCCTCACCCGCAAGCCAGTCTCCCTGTTAACTTAATAGTAGTTACGTTGAAGCCATCTAAAACCAGCTTGGATGGGAATATCACATCCATAATCTGTATTTTCCTCAAGGCTGAGTCACTTTGTTGACCTGATAAGTCTTAAGGGGCCTTTGCTCAAAGCTTTTTTTTTTAGTCTTATTTCCTATTGTCTGGAATCTTTAGACACTCAATTTTCATAACACTACAAGCGCCCAAATTTCTGGACTTTTTTTTTCTCTTTGTTCGTGCTTGCCAATTTAAACTAGCCAATCCTCTCTTTCTCTCAACTTGCTAAATATAGAGAGAGGAATAATCAATGCACATTAGCATTTGCCTGTTTCCCACCACTTTCCCTAACAGTTTCCATTTTCTCGTCACCCATATTACCGCAGGTGACATTGCACTCAATATTTCACCGCAGCATGAATCGCAATCTTTCCAGCCTACAATATCTATTTTCTTTGCCACACAGCCCCTAACCCCTATTGTCACATATCTTAGGTTTCTGTAACTGCAGCCCCGATATCAAGACATCAATTTCTTTATTAGCTAGGATAACATTAGCTGTCGTAACAAATAAACATCAAGATTTCAGTGACTTAAGACAATACAATGATTATTTCCTAGACACATAACAATCCAGTGGTCTGTTCCTTGTAGGCAGGGATTTTTCCATCTTACGGCTCCATCACGTCCAAGGGTCCCGTGGTCCTCTGCTTCCGGGAAAAGGGTAAAGAGCTTGGAGAAGTACTGGGGACGTTATTATGGACCAGGTGTGGAAATGGCACACGTCTTCTACTTCATTCTTTTGGCACAGAGCAGTTTGAAAGGAGCTGGGAAATGTAATTCCTGGCTTAATAGACATTTCCTGGTGACAGCTCCACAAATTTGTGGTGGACGTTGACAAGTTGATAATAACCCCTTACATAAGTATAGTACTTTACTATTTACAAAGCATTTTAAGGTAAGTAGTGACATGAAGTAGGCCTAAAAGATTTATCTCCATTATCACAAAGGGAGAAATGGATTCAGAGGAGTTAACTTGCTCAAGATTATACAAGACTTCTGGATTTAGGTCCAATGTGTAAAGGGCTTGGAGGTTGTCACTCTTGTCCTTAACAACAAGAAAAAACCTGAAAAACTGAAGATCATCGCCTTTTCTTGTACTCTTCAGAGAATTGAGGTTGCAGGGCAAACTGCTGTCCTGAAATCTGGAGAGATGTGTGAAAACAGATTCACAGCTGAGATCAGCTTACCTAGAGCAGAAGCTGCTGGAGCCATAAACTGGTGGGATCAGTTCTGTGGTAATTTTGACAAGTTGCTGGAGGCTGAGTGTGGGCTAGCTTGACAGTGAGAAACTCCTGGAGGCCACAGTCTTCAGGGCTCCAGGAACCATTTACCTCAAGGAACCCCACCAGTTTTTATGATGGAGTCAAGAAAAATCCCCTGTTGGCTCTGGCAGGTAGAAGAGAAAGATGACCATTTTGAAATATGTCCAGAACATTCTCCATAACAAAGGCCTCCTCTCTAGCGGACGGCTTTACCAGAGCCTTTTCCCATATGGGAGAAGGGCATTTGCCCAGTTCCAGCCTCCTCAAGCCTTCCTGTCTCACCTCAGGAGTGGAAAACATGCTAAGAATCCCTTGTGAAGGTCACGGCCCAGAGACACAGGCCCAATAAAAGACT